ATTAGTGAGGATAACACCACTTTAGCGCTGAGGAATGGTGAAGACAACAACAATACGACCCCAAGTCCTCCTCCTCAGTGGCAATTTACCCAAGAAACTGCTCAACTTACCCAAGAAACGACTGCTGAGCTTCTCACTCCTCGATTTGAGACGCTTTCGCTGACTCACCAGCAGCTTGAGACGCCAACTCAGCTTGAGGAGGAGACTGCAACTCAGATGGTGCAGTTTGCTCAAGCAACAAGAACTCAGCAATATGAGTCCCAATCAACTCAGCAAACACAGCAAACAACCCAATCAACTCATGCATCATTGTTCCTCACCTGTTGAGCACTCCTTGCCCTCGTGCTCCCCTCAAGAGAGCATACTCAAAAGCATCCACCAGCAGTCGCTCCACCAGTATCAGCAGCATCAACACAGATATCACATCCATGTTCAATATGTCCATGAAGCACCAAGAAACGCTTGCTCAAGCATCAATGCAACAGTATAAAGCTTACCAAGAAGCATCCATTCAACAGTACCAGCATACTTTGGCAGAAATCAAAGATATGGTACGTGTTGTTGCCAGCGCGTTTGTCGAGAAGAAGAAGAGACAGCAACAGCGTGAGAACTCGTCCTCCTCCTCAGAGGACAATTTGATGTAATCCCATGATCAAATACGAATTAAGAATTAAGATTACTAAGTTAAACTACTGTTTGCTGATTGCTGTTTGCTCCACGACTCCTTGCTGATTGCTGTTTGCTCCACTGCTTGCTGCAACTGATTTATGAGTACTGAATACTAATACTGCTTCTAAATCCAGTATACACGATACTATGTGTAAAAGGAATCATACTCGATACTTCGTGTACAAAAAGGTTCACATGAAAACTTGTTGGATCGTTGGATCCCGTGTCCAATGAGTTAGCTCTATGTAAACAAAAGCATGCCAGCAAGTTAGCTCTATGTAAACGAAAGCATGCCAGCGAGTTAGCTCTATGTAAACCAAAGCGTGCCAGCAATCGTGTGGGATTCCAACGCGTTCCCTCTTAGTTACCGCGTTCCCTCTTAGTTACCGGTCCCGGTTTCCTTCCCATGAAAACTGGCAACACAGAATAACACGGTGCTACAGTGGGGAAGGAACTCAAATAACACGGTGTACCGCGTAGGTCGCAGGTTGCTTCTTGTTTGCTCCTTTTTGCTCACTCCTCACTCTTCATAATGTAACTGGAGTAACTGGAGGAGTAACTGTAGAAATAGTAATTAGTARTTCATTACACTTAGATAACTAACTGAAGCAACCATGGCGCAATCGAACTGAAACAACCATGGCGCAATCGACGCGCAATCGACAATCCGCAATTGACAATCCGCAATTGACAATCCGCAATCGACAATCGACAATCGACAATCTGCACCAATCGACAATCCTCACGCCGAGAACAAGCCAGGGAATGAGCTGTTGGTGTCCCCATTGGGCTGAAGYTGGTAAGCAAAGTATCCTATCTGTCTCTCCCCATAGGATTCCCTCAGCTTTTCAAAGGATTCAAAGCCACTTGTATCGCTCATGAAGGTGTTGAGGATCTGATTAATGCCCACCTTGCTGCACTGATAATTATACAACAACAACATGAGGTTAACAATAACCTTCCTATCGCTAAACTCCTCCAGTTTAAGCCGGTCTTTAATTCTTGGGAATTGCCYCTGGAGCATTCGCATACCCCATTCTGATAACTGTCGRACTGCTGTGGCTTCTCGGTTAAGTATAATAACATGATTGTTCTCCGCCATTGTGAGGAATTTGTCTGGATCATTTTGCTGGCTTCTAATGAGATACTTGACCCCTCTGACCTTGAAGGCAGAGTCAACAACAACTGACCCCCCATTCCTTCTGTATATGGCCTCCAACTTCTMGTATATGCCGTAATCTGCCATGGTGCTGTCATGCATACACCCAGGACAGTTATATATTGTCATCCTGATTTTTCCATTGGGGGCATAGACAAGGCAACTATTAATGTAAGTATCCATGCCCCATCCGTTGTAGTACATGGATTGAATATGCCAATTGGTAGACTGCTYGAGCTTAATTTTGAGGCCATCTGCTGCACCCCATACTCTTTTGGTTCCGAGTGTATGATACTTCCTTTGTATTGCTGACACGTATGCCTCCACTTCTTCATCAGTTNTCATCACCAGAACCAAACAAATGGATGAAGGCAGATTCCTTGACACCTAAAAGTGCAATCCTTGGCATCCTTCTGTCTTGTCGGCACTTGTCGTGAAGKGACAGTCGTTGTTTTGCTGGTGGTTGTTTTGCTGTCTCCTCCTCCTCCTGTTCCTGTTGTTGCTGGAGAGCCCATGCAATTAAAACTAACTGAAAGGAGGACATTTTTCTGTGAAGGAGCAATCGATTGCCAAATAGTGAGGATACCGACTGTTTTCTTTGTTGTTGTTATTCTTTTCTTTCGGAGGAGGATTCGATGTTGATTTTGGAG